TCCTCTTAAGAGAGATTACTGTACTCAAAATTACAAAAAGCACATCACTAGTTACTATATTTGGAAGCTACACGATTACAAGTCAGGATGAAAATAGCTGATATTTAATGAGTCATTTGCTAATTATTCAGCTTATAGATTTCCATTGCCATTTGCTTCTGGAGTTTTCCCTCTTCCTTAGCGAGTTTCTGGTGGTACTTTACTGCTTTCCAACACCTCCAGGAACTACTATATGCTGATATATGACGATAAATTGTGCATGAGGAAAGACACATAACAAATTATGACTAAGGATCCATGCTGTGTTACTGACTGAGATAAACCATGAGCAGTGTTCATGCACTACACTGAAGATTTTCATGGGTAATGCAGAGCAGAAAGTACCTAGATTTCTGCTGTTAACTACTGTGCTATCTATTGCTTGGTAAAGAAAATGAAAGATAAATCATGAAGGTCAATGTACCTGCTGAAGAGAGAGCAGTGTGTCATCACGCTATTCAGATTCTAGATGTGTTCTGCTATGTGTGTAACTCAGGGGTTCTCAGCCATGCCTGCACACTGGAATCACCGATACCCAGACTGCACCCCAGGCAGAATCTAGGTCTCCGGGGGAGGGGTCCCAAGCACTGGTATTTTTAAAAAGCTCTTTGAGTGATTCTAATGTGCTGTCAGGAGTTGAAAATCTCCAATGTAGTCAGTAAATAAGAGGTATCATTTATAGGTCTCACTGTATGCTTAAAACCTCTTGCACACGAGGAAACTGATGCTTTGAAAGATGTTATTTGCTCAATGTCTTGTTACAAAGCAGAGCTTCATACCCAGTCTGTTCCCTTAAACCAGGGCTTTGGAACTCTTTTGACTATGACCCAAAGACAGACATGAAATTTACATTGTAACTCAGAGCACATAAGGTAGTGAAAACAAGTATAACAAATAATACTTTGTTAAGTATTTATGCACTCTGATATTTCCTATTTTATGTGAAAAACAGAAAATTAAAAAAAATAAAATGGTAATTTAAAAAATACTAGTCAAACCCACTAAATTGACGTATGGCCTACAGTTTTACGTATTATTCTAGCCAATAGCAGTACAGATTTCTTTTCTGTTCCAACACACACCAAAATCTTTTCCCCATCAATGCCTTCTCATTTTCTTTATTTTCTCACCTGGAAAGTTCCTTCCATCTTACTCTGCACTTTTCTTTAAAGGCCATCAAACTACATTTAAGCTTTTCTAAGACTACTCCAGTCTATAGTGCCTTTTCCCAATGTCTATACTTAACATGTGAGCTCTGGTGGTGTAGCACCTAAGGCATTTGACTGCTAACCAGAAGGCTAGC